AAATACGAAATTTTGTAAAATTTCCCTTAGGAAATATTTTATGCACGTGTTATATTTTGATAGGAAATTTCCTGAGTTTGAAGTTTATTCAGTACGTTGTGTCGAATTTTTTTATTGATGCTGATTGTTATCTATTGATCTTTTCCATTGGGATTGTTGCGTTTGTCAAAAATATACACTTTGGCAGATTTCTGACATCAATGCGTTTTAAATGGAAGAGCTGGTATCAAAGTCAAAAATGACAATTCTGGAAATTTTCCCCGGGATATTTCCAAAAATTTCCACTTATTAATTTTGACAATTTGTGTGCAAAATTTCCAGTGAAATTTGCACAAGGGAAATTTCCGTCAAAAATCCGTTAAACCATTTTTTTTCCGTCAATAAAATCCGTCAGAATGAAACATGCGAAATGCGCTAAACAAATAAAATTTATTCAGTAGTGCCAACCAAATACCAACCAACAATTTAGATCAGCTACCCAGAGCATAAAATATGGCGTCCCTCAGGGCGGAATCCTTTCTCCCTTGCTCTTTCTTATTTTCTGTAACAGTCTTTCTGACATGTTTGATGAGGTCCATAAACTACATCAGTTCGCTGATGATACAAGCTCAACCGAACATCACGAAAATCACTTCGATATGGTTGCTAGTCTAAATCTAACATCTTCAAAAATATCAGATTGGTGCACTTGTAATGGTCTCCTCTTAAACCCTCAAAAGTCTGTAGTTGTTGATTTTAAGAACGTAAGATCGCAAAATAATGACCATCCACCATCCGTAGTACTACTCAATGACAAATTCATTCCAAATAAAAAAAGTACCAAATTTCTAGGAGTCCACATTGACTCATCTCTTACCTGGGAGAGTCACATAGAAAGTCTTGCTAAAAGACTAGCGACATCATGTTTTGCTGTAAAAAACTTGAAACAAGAAGTAGATGCAAAAACAACCTTATTGTACATCCATTCACATGTAATGAGTCGCATCAGCTATGGAATCATCATTTGGGGATCAACATCTAAAATTGAAAGACTGTTTTTACTCCAGAAGCGCTTGATACGTGTCTTGGATAGAGCTAAATGGAATGAACATGCTGTCCCAATCTTTAGAAAATACGAACTGATGACCATGTATTCTTTATACTTTTATAGGGTATTGTTGTTTGTTAGAAAACATCAAAGTTATTTTAAAACCAATAGTGAAATTAACAAGGGAATCAAAACCAGATTTTCTCAAAAGTTAACAATCCCTATTCACAAAACATCATTATTTCAGTCATCTCCACTTTATATGGCTACAAAAGCATACAATTATCTTCCTGCAGATGTAAGAAACATCCAAGGTTTTAATAGTTTTAAGAATAGGATTAAGGCTGTGCTTATGGATAATCCTCTTTACAACCACAATCAATTTTTTAATGTAAACTTTTAAATATCATTTTGTGTATTGTAATGTTGGTTCATGTGATTTTGAATATTTTGTTATTTGTTGCTCTGCGTGAAATGCTATGTAGTACTGTGTAATTTGTTAAAAAAAATCAATTTATTGTAACGACAAATGTACTTAATGTGCATATCTTTATAAATCTGACATTTTATTCAAATTTATTTAATATTTATAGTAACAGCTTTAATGTTTATACTAGTGTAATCGACACATCCAATATACCAATGTATCAGATGGACTAAGGATTGAATAAATAAATAAATAAATAATGCAGAGTTAACGACATTGACGGCATGACGGCAGTGCCATTTGATTTTAGGCGTTTTTAGAGACACTGATCCGTTTCACCCGATCACCAGAGGCATATTTTCTTGCGTCTCAAATGTTCAAAACATTTTTCAAAACTGGTTTAAGTAATGTCACCATGACGTCATAATTTCTCGAGAAAATGGTTTGAAAATGTGGATTAGATTGCATTTCGAAACAATTTGAACCAATTTTGACGTGACGTCATGGGTTTATCGCCAGAATGTACCTACTGTTTCAAAACAGTTTTGAACCAGTTTCAAAAAAGTGGACGCGAGAAAACGCCTCAGGTGTGTTGAAATATGTATCCGAAAGGATAATATAATATACAAAAACAAATCTACCTTACCAGGAATCGACCTGAGAATTGACAAAGAGCAATAAACCCAAAAGGTTGGTATTTATTGCCTTATTTATTTATTGTACTTGGGTATTACTTTTTGCGTTGTAAATATATTTTTCCCACACCCCGAAAAGGTTTAGGGTGTGAAGATGAAATATAAAAGCTAAAGTTAAGTTAGTCGTTCTGTTATGTTTTAAGACGAAACATTGAAATATATTATCGTGCCTTAAAACGTATCTATCGTGTTTTAATTAAACCACTGATAACCTGAAATATTTAATAAGGTGTTTGTATTTTATCTTTTTTCAATGAACACTATTGAAAAAGGACAGATAATATCAGCTGGTGATCGGGCTAGTCGGATCAACGTTTCCGTAAAGGCTTGTTTACAGACCAACAGTAGCTTGAATCGCTAAACAACCAATTTATTACATTTACAGAACATAATTTAGAATTTTTAAACGGAAACTTTGTTCCCGTTAAAAAATCCGTCATCCGTTGAAACTGTTTGTTTTCCGTTTCCCTCCTCCAAAATCCGTTAGATATGACGGGAAATCCGCTAAGTTGGCAACGCTGGTTAGAAATCGTAATGTATGTACAATAAATGAAAAACTCTATGTCCCCTCTTCCTTTATTATCACATCTGTTAGAAAGAGACAGATATAAGAATGGGAGGTGATGTCAGAATTGTCAGATAGTTCCAAGCTATACTATCGCCGCCATCTGCTACAAGAAATACGTTGCCACTTGGCGTATATGAATCGGTAACTCTTACCTTGGTTTATTATATTTCTCTATGGTCGTAGCTATAGACTGTGTCATTGTTTCCCATTACCTTCTTTTTGCATTCAAGTTTTTGTCGCCTGATTTTAAATATTTTTTCTTTATCTCACTGTTGCTTTTAGGTATTTAGTATCGGTACCTCAGCTAGGTACCTAAAGATTTTTTTGGTTTTGTTCCTTTTAGTTTAGAGAATCCTTTTTATTTTGTTCTTGTTCCTTGTTCAATAATTACATTAGTTGTAACGTTCTTTACATATTATCGTATATTGTATATTCTTCGGTGTTTTCATGGGCATTTTCGGCATTTAAGTTAAATTTTATATTAGGTTAGTAGTTTAAATGATAGAAATAATCAGTATTTCCTAATTTTGTTTGGTAAACAAACTTTTTATAAAGAAGGAGGCACAATTTACATTGAAAATATGCCCCCGTAAATTTAAACCAAATTCCAATATTTTGAAGGTATCATCATTGCAAGAAAAATATTGAAATGTAAAGAGGATCGTATGTCTGTGATAGCAGATATAGCTCATCAAAGTATAGTCTGGCTAGCCAAACGGCGAACTCAAAAAGAATTTGCTGCTATGCCAAACTTGACAGAAACAATAATAAACAAGTTGGTGACATATTTTTTTTTGCAATATGGGCCGTGTAGTATTTTGAAATAGGAAAAAATCCGGCAACATTACGAAATGAAGGAAGCGGAGAGGCGTGATTATTCAGAGGCATGATTCTATTGGTTAGTCTGAACGACAGCACCAGTGGCGTGGTTATTCGTAAAACTCAAGAATTTTTTTCCTAATAATTTTTTGGTTTATTTCCTTAGTGTTTTCGGTGCCACTGAACCGAAAGACATGGTTGTCATCAGGCGGTGTCAGTTGAGGCACGTTGAGGTGTCAGTGAATATTCTTAGGTTACGCCCCACTTTTCTTCCCCCTTTCGTCTCTACCAAGTTACCACTTGCCAAACTATACGTAGGTCCTGCTATGCTATGCATAGGAAATATCTGAGTAAATATCCCTACAATCCGATTTTGACCTTTTTGGAGTTTGATACCTACAAAAGGTCCCCAAAAACGTCGAAATCGGAATAGTATTTTTCGGGATATCCAAGAAAATCTACATACGGATATTTCCTCGGATTTTTCCTATGTATAGCATAGCAGGACCTACGTACTTTGATGAGCTATATCTGCTATCACAGACATACGATCCTCTTTACATTTCAAATTTTTCTTTGCAATAATGATTCCTTTAAAATATTGGATTTTGGTTGAAATTTACGGGGGCCTATTTTCATTGGTTAATTGTGCCTCCTTCTTTCACATACTGATACAAATTAAGAAAAAATATAGTTAGAGGTATATTCATGTGTGAAGATTTTCTTGTTCAGTCAGGTTGATAAATAAATATACTGGAGTTTACGTTCCAGAATTTATTTAGATTGCATCATCAGGAGAATCAGAGGCACAAAAATGTAAAAGAACTACATTAGCTCCTATACTTGATAAAAATCATATAAGGGTATTATTTATTGAAGGGTTTAAAAAAATAGGTCATAGATAATTAATGTTGTAAGTAGGTACCCATAATACATAATGGTTAGTTTATGTTCAAAATAACAAACATATTTTTGTCCGCGTTCATACAATATTTTACCCTTTAAAATAACGATTAAATTTAAATTATTTATTTTTACGATATTGAAATCATAAGTCAAATTATATGTTAAAACAAAATACATGTGCATCATAAGCCATTTTTTTTACATAATTATCACGCTATCGAGAAAGCATAACTTTTTTGCTTCTCTATTATTCCGCAAAGGTAATTCCTCAATAACTTATAATATTTTGTTTACAGGTAATTTTAGCAATTTATTGAACGTTTATAATTATGTGGTGGAAAATGCTTATCCAAATTTTTTGGATGCACCTGATGGTTACAAAAACTTTATTAATTTTTGAACTACCTACACAACTGAATATGAGATTGAGTGATTGTTTGAGAATTATTTCCAAGTCTCAGAAAATATGGTCTTGGGTCGTAATGCATGAGACAGATCAAACGAAACCATTTGATTTGATGTTTAAAGGTATACTAACAATTGGAGTGCCCCTATACAATTTCGATAAAACTGAATTTTCAATAATCAATGATAAATTTATGAATATAACTACTATACAAAGGGAATCGAAAATATTCATACTCTCTTCAAATGATTGTTTGGTGAATTTGTTGCAAAATAATAAACGAAATATTCGTTTGGGTGACAAAATAATTTATTGGAATGAGAGAAAACCTCATAATAGTTTATCAGAAATATTACATGATGCAGGAGTGGATACGCAAACTTTACATGATTTTTTACCATTAATAAAAGTTTTAAAAGTGAATGACGCCGCTGCCTTTACACACACAAATCAATCCTATTTTGACGAAAGTTTTATGAATACGCGCGAAATTTTCACAATAGCGACGTTTGAAACTAAATTACATCATGGCGAGATAGAGTATCTTCGTCTGGATACTTTTGTTATGGAGATTTTAGCAAAAAGTATTCATTTACCTTACGTTTATATTAAGCCAACGAGATATGAAGGATATGCGGGAGTTTTTGATCTAGTTGCTAGTGGAGATGCTCAAATTGTGTTGAATTCTTGGTTTCTTGTTGAGAAAATAGCAATCGAAAATAAGGTATGTTGAAGATTCGCTTTTCTACAATAAAATATTATTTTTTAGGTGGAGTTTACATATCCTTATAGACGAGATGATTTAGTAATTTTAGCACCTAAGATACTCTCACCTTCAAGATTATTCTATTTTACATATTATTCATATGGCATGTGTCTCACAGCAATGATACTTCTTTACTTCTACTTTAAAATAATAAAGCAACAAAGATCTGTGATGGACATAATTTTCTTATTTCTACTAATTTGCAGTGGACACTCTATAAAAGAAACAAATACAAAATATTTTCGTATAATTTATATGAGCCTAATGTTTTTAGCATTTTACGGATACACGCTATTCAATATTCAAATATTATCAGCTTTAACCCTCCAGCCTACCGATGTAGGGATAAAAACTGTAGAAGAATTTGTTAGAACCAAGAACCCAATTTTTTGCACAAAGAACATTGCTATAGGGCTAAGGGATTTGTTAGAAAATGATAAATTGGGAAAGCAACTTTTGCCACGCATAAAAACCTACTCGAATCTCAGCGATAATAGCGAAGAAGAACATATTTTAACCAACTGTACAACATTTGCCGTAATCTTAGCAAGAAGTTCAGCAAGATATTTTTCAAATTTGGCCAAAGAACAAGGATTAGATTTTTGTTATAATTTAATTCCTGAGGCAGTAGTGCCCTCGATAGTAACATACCTTATGGCCTATAAATCGCCCTTTCATGAAAAAATTGATAAAATCATTTCTAGGATTTTTGAAAATGGACTGATAGCTAATTTTACCGCCGATCCAATAGTGAAAACTCAAGAATATAATGAGGAACTTGAAAAATCTGGATTAACAACTTTCAGAGAAAGATTACCGTGGATTGTTTATTTATGTGGAATATTTTTGGCAACCATTGTATTTATATTTGAAGCATTCATTTGGCCTAAGCTTATTGGACAATTTAAAAATAAATAATTATATCTACTGGTTGATGACGGCGTTGGTCTTGATGTAGGTATTTCTGTCTTGATTTTTTGAAATAATCCTTTTTCACCAATTCATCAATCTTCATCACTTTTCCAGAGAAAAGCAATTGTTTTTTTTGTTTTAATTGAAGAATATACATTTTCTTTAAATAATAAAATTTAGTCTTTTATGTGGAATAATAATAATAATAATAATAATAAAATGTCTTTATTGAAAACAAATGTTCATGACATTTGCCCATAGGGCGAAGATTAGCTTAAAGCTACTCATTAACTCTTAACCCTATATACAAATATTAAATTACTTTACTAATACAACAATCACAGTAACGGCAATAATGAATGATGCCTAATATAACAAAATAGAAAAATATTCATGTAACAAAAAGAAAAAAACAAAACAAACAAACAAAAAAATAAAAAAAAATAATAATAAAATTTTAAAAAAATAAATAAATAAATAAATATATGTACACATGTATAAATGCTACTCACTACTAACCTACATAGCCAACTGCTCCTCCAAAAATAGTTGCTTGTATTTTTTATGAAGCTGATAGACCGAGGAATGCAAGTCAGGTCTTAGATGATTAAACAAAGATACAACATTGAATGTGAAACAACGACAGTGATGCCAGGTCTGGTGAAATTTCACCAGACCTGGTGATTTTATGAAAAATCTGGTGATTGGTGAAAAACTTTTTAAAAAATGGCAATTTCTGGTGATTTTGAAATTTCATCAATTTTGAATATTTTTACCAATGGTATACACTTTATAAACATCCCTCGAAATGTATTAAAATTTTACTTCATTAACATACAAATTTCATTTGTTTGACAGAAAACCAAATACCCATAAGTGGTGTGTCAGGTTCTTTGATTTTTATATAAATTTGTATTGGTTCTTTTGATATATTTATATATGTTTTCCTTTTTATATTTGAATTTCTGTTTATTCCAGGCTCTTGTTGTTATTGGCCGGTTATTTTTCAAGTTGGCAACATGTATTTTGTTTGGCCAGTCAGGCCAGTGGCGTTGCTTATGGGGGGTTTCAGTCAAACCAATCGAAAACTCGAAATTTTTATTTTTCATATTTTCGAAATTTTGACATTTCCAATTGATTCAGCGGGTTTAAATTATTCTAAAAAAATTCTAACATCACTTTCAAAATGGCGATTTCATAAAGCTAAAAAATCTCAATTTTCGTTCTGGAAATTTTTTCAAATCTTGACAAGGTTAGGAATAATGGCCAATATCTTCAAAGAAATTTGAATAAATCAAAACAAATTATATATGGTTGAAAAGAGCATTAAATTCTCTCTAAATCTATGCCAAATTGGTTCTGATAACTCGAATACTTTTTGGGCAATTGGATCTCAAAGTTAACTTTTAGTCCAAATTTTATCAAATTCGATTTTCTCGAAAACCATAAGAGCTAGCGATTTTAACTAAATACCATTTTAAAGTTCTTATCAAGAGTTACATTTCTTGAAAATTTTAATGCAAAATCTTTAATAGATTTCAAGATATCCAAGATCAAATATTTTGAAATAAAAATCTGAAGGGGTAAGTAACCCTTTGAAAAATTCGAAATTTTTATTGTTTATATTTATTGAATTATGACTTTTCCAATCGATAGAGCGGGTCTGAATTAGTCGAAAAAAACTCTAACATCATTACAAAATCTTGATTTCAACACAGAGAAAAATTAAAAAAAAAATCTCAATTTTTAAGTTTAAATTTTTTTTAAATCCTGACAAGGTTAGGAGCAATTGCCAATACTTCTATTAAATTTTGAACAAATCAAAATAAATTATATATGGTTGGAAAGAGCATCAAATTCTCTATAAATCGGTGCTATATTGAGTTTGATAACTCAAATACTTTTGCAGCAATTGAGCCTCAAAATTGGATTTTAGTTGAAAATTAGTCAAAAACTTCAAACTCGATTTTCTCGAAAACCGTAAATGTCAGCGACTTTTACTTAAAGTACCATTTCAAAGCCCTCATCAAGGGCTATAATCACAAAAAAAATTGATCCAAAATCTTTGACGGGTTTCGAGAAAATTGAGTTTGAACATTTTGAAATCAAAATCCAAAGGGGTTTATAACCCTTTGAAAAAATCGAAATTTTTATTTTTCAGATTTTTCGAATTTTGTCTTTTCCAATCGATAGAGCGGATCTAAATTAGTCGGAAAAAACTCTAACTTTATTTCCAAATCTCTATTTCAAAAGGAAAAAAAAATTAAAAAGAAAATCTCAATTTTCAGGTTTAATTTTAGAAAAAATCCTAACAAAGTTAGGAGCAATTGCCAATAATTTTATTAAAATTTGAGCAAATCAAAACAAATTATACATTGTTGGAAAGAGCATTAAATTTTCTATAAATCAATGTAAGATTGAGCCCACTAGCTCAAATACTTTTGGAGCAATTAGACCTCAAAGTTGAATTTTAGTCGAAAAAGTATCAAAAACTTCAAACTAATTTTTTCCAGAAACCGTAAATGCCAGCGACTTCAACTAAGTACCATTTTAGAGCCCTCATCAAGGGCTACAATCTCAGAAAAAATTGATCTAAAATCTTCGACGGGTTTCGAGAAAATTGAGTTTGAAAATTTTGAAATAAAAATCTAAAGGTAACCCTTTGAAAAAATCGAAATTTTTATTTTTCAGATTTTTCGAATTTTGATTTTTCCAATCGATAGAGCGGATCTGAATCAGTCGAAAAAAACTCTAACTCCATTTCCAAATCTCGATTTCAAAAGAGAAAAAAAATCAAAAAAAAATCTCAATTTTCAGATCTATATTTTTTTTTTTAAATACTGACAAGGTTAGGAGCAATTGTCAATACTTCCATTAAATTTTCAGGAAATGAAAATAAATTATATATGGTTGGAAAGAACATCAAATTCTCTATAAATCAGTGCTAGATTGAGTTTGATAACGCGAATACTTTTAGAGCAATTGAGCCTCAAAGTTAGATTTTAGTTAAAATTTAGTCAAAAACTTCAAACTCGATTTTCTCAAAAACCGTGAATGCCAACGACTTTCAACTGAGTACCATTTTGCAGCCCTAATTAGGAGCTACAATTTCAAAAAAAAATTATCCAAAATCTTTGACGGGTTTCGAGAAAATGGAGTTTGAAAATTTTGAAATTAAAATCCAAAGGAATTTAACCCTTTGAAAAAAATCTGGTGATTTTTCATTCCAATTTCTGGTGAATTTAATTTTTTTGACCTGGCAACAGTGAACAACGAGAAAATAGAGCGGTGGTGTGGTGTGGCATGATCAATGTGATGTGTCTGATGTTTCAGTTATAAACCATATCTCTAGGTATTAATTTTTCAAATATGTATGATGGTGCCCTATTATTAATTAAACGATACATAAATAGTACCAGATGAAACTTGAACAAAAACGATAACTTCAACCATTTTAGATCATATATATACCTTGAAACATGATCGAACTTTTTCAATCTACAAACAAACCGACAACATGTATTTTCAACGCGTTGCAATCTCTGCTGAGACATCCTGTCTAAAAAGGGATAATAGACTATAAGGCAATAATTGATTATAGAAAGTACAAAGGTATCTGCAAGCTTTTTCCTGGTATCAAAATTTAAGATATCCTTATTAGGATACAGAAGCCGCAGAGGCAAATAACATCTTTGAAGAATTTTCCCAACGTGCTCCCGAAATCTTAATGATGATTCAAGAGTTAAACCAAGAATTTTTACCTGTTCTGAAAAAGAAAGTTGAATGTCATCGACTGCAATACGCAAATTATTTTTAATTGTAAGTCGTTGATTTTTAGAGCTAAAAAGTAAAATTTTAGTTTTGCTAGGATTCATTATGAGATTATGCTCAGTTGAATACCTTTTTATCAAGCGTAAGTCATTATTGATACATTCAGTGGCCTCATCAATTTCATTCGGATTAAAGCAGTGCATTAACTAGGTGTCGTCGGCATACTGATATACCCTTGATCCTACCACTATTGAAGGAAGGTCGCAGGTATATAAAATGAATAAAAGTGGTCCCAAAATTGATCCCTGAGGAACCCCAGAAATCACTGGCTTCGATCCAGAATAATTATGCTCTATGCGGACTCGCTGCGTACGCTTCCAAAGATATGATTTAAAAAATAATAGAACAATATTATTACAGCCAAAAAAATTAAGCTTCGCCACCAACAGGTCATGATCAATAACATCAAAAGCCTTAGAGTAGTCCAAAGCCACCAATACTGCTGCAAGCTTTTTATCAAGCGCTCTAGTAATGTCATCAGTAATATCATTGTATATAAAGAGCCTTTTTATACAATGGTAATATTAAGTAAAGCGGTGGTAGTACTGTGCCCCTCTCTAAAGCCAGACTGCTGAACTGGGAAAATGTTGTTTTTAATGAAATATTGAGATAACTGGAAGCATACCACCCTTTCTAATACTTTTGAGATAATTGGTAATAAACTTATTGGCCTCAGATCCTGCAAGGTTTCGGGACTAGATACTTTGGGAATAGGACATATAATTGACTCACGCCAAGACTGAGGAAAATATCCAATATCCAAGCATGTGTTAACAATATTTGTTATGTGATTGAGAATCTGTGGTAAACATAAGTGCAACATACGAAGAGTGATGCCACGTTAACAAAAAACCCAACAAACACAGAACGACTGGCCCGATAACGGCACGAATGCGGAATGCCGAAAGGCCACTTGCGATCCGCTTAACGGCTGCCGCCTCGGCATGCTGGTAGGGCATGTCCGCCTGGCCGAAGGGTGGCTGAGATTCGGCGAGCCAGCCCTTCGGCGACGGTATAGGATAGGCATAACCGCCGACGGGCCACTAGTAGTATCGCCGAATCGGCGCGAATTCGGCATAGGACCGGTGGCCCGTACACGGTAACCTCTCCTCAGCCGCGGGTCTTAGCGGGTAGATGGAAGGGCGCCGAATGTTCGAGAATAGCTATTTACCTAA